AAAAGAAATATATATATATATATATTACTGCTGAATATTCACTTTACCTTATATGTGTTCGCAATATTAACACTATTGTAAGATAAATGCTTTATCAAAATTTATAAATTATGAATTACCTTCATATTAAATTTTCTATTATTATTTTCCTCCAAATTTACACTGAAATTTTGAGGTTTTTAAATTATAAGAATTTCAATGCTGTTTTTTTTCCATTAGTTATTTCAGACAATTTTATTTTTCTATATGTAAAAATAATACCTTATACTTATAGCATAAAATGTATCAAAATTATATTTTTGAAAATATAAATAAATTATAAAAAGTATAAAAATTTTCATAAATTGATTATAAAAAACAAATAAAATTTTCATAAATTGATTATAAAAAACAAATACAATTACCATAATGTAGTGGCTTTGCACATAGAATGTATAAGTAATAATAAATAATTAGTATCTCCTATATCTTTGACTAAGATATTTTTCTAAAAATAAATTTTATGCATAAAAATATGTTATTTTTACAACATTTAAGAGAAAAGTTTCTTTGCTAAATATTTAAGTAAATGTCATTATATTGATAATAGCTATTAAGTATGTATACGTAGAAATGTAGAGTTTGTAATCTATTTTTATAATAAATATAAATTAAAAAATCTAGTTTTTGTAAAAAAATAATTATTTAATGAAAATTTTGTTACATCACTTATAAAATGTAAGATACAAATTTGGAAATAACTGTTCAGTACATTTGTGTCCCTGAAAGTATATTTTTTTTAATATTTTGAGTATATTTGTTTAATTCAATTTAATTAGCTTTCTTTCCTTGAACTTTTTTCCCTGAAACGATGTAAGAATTGTAAAAGAAATAACAGAAAAGTACAACATAAGTAAAATACATAAAAGAATTTAAATTAAGAGCTGTATAAGTTATTTCACAAGGAGTTCCTGAAGCTAAACTTTTATAAGCCCACGAGCAGAGAAACACTCCAATAAACATTTGAGATATTTGACACAGAGTTATCATCATTGCGATAGGACGAGGTATTTTAATATTTAACGCCTTCAGAGCAAAGTAACCATACATTAGACTATGAACGGTAAAGTTCATGAATATGAACCAATGACCAAGAGATACTAGGTTACCACTGTTATACCAGGTAAAAACCAGTGTTACTATATGATGATACCAATGAAGAAATATCAGTTTTTGTTTACGTAAGACAATGAAAATTGTATCACCAAATTCCAAAACTTTAGAAAGAATAAATAACCATCCCCAAAAGAATGATGACTCTATTCCTCCAATATAAGAAATATTACAAACTGAAAATGTAAATCCACGATCACGTAACACATGATAAAATCCAGGTAACAATCTGATAGTTCCTATCAAGCTGAATATTGCTAGGGATATATTCCATACTGCTAAAGGTCTTTTGAGTTTATAGGCAGGTCTTGATTTCATAAGATGTTTTCCTCCAAATACAACCACTAAATAAAGTGCGGACCAGTATAAAGAGTGATGCCAGTTGTTTGCCATCCATTTTGTAACTTGGGCTCTTACAATCAATTTTTCGAATTCAAAGGGCTCGACATAGGCTGGACGTTGAAAATTCAGCTCCATCTGAAAATAGATATAATTATATACATACATACAGTATATAAATTATTTGTAATATTTAAATATAAATTTATGTAATAATATATACCTGTAAATATTTTAAAATTTTAAAATCTTTTCTAAGTGTTAAATACATTCCTATGTGTTATTTTTATTATGTAAGCAATGTTAGTTTATTATTTTATCACATTATTTGATCATAATTAAAACAAGTAAAACATTCTCTAATAATCAACTACATGTCTATTTTTAATTATTTTCGAAGAACATATAGCCCATTTGTTTAAGTGAAAAATAAGTATTTTAGTCTTTGTCCATAAATTAATTTTTAAAATTATTATAAAAAGTAACTGACAACTCGGAATGTTGATATACACGTGCATAAATTATGAGCAGAACCAAAGATCTTCAGATCAAGCGATTCGAGATAAATTTTAAATTATAGAAAAATATATAGGCCACATGTTTTAAAAATGCAAGATTAATTTAAAACTAAATATGATTCAATTATATTGATAATGGATTATGATATGATTAGATAATATCTTCAATCGTCCGCATAAATTAGATTAAGAATAAAATTTTAATAAATATACTTTTAGCATACGGTGAAATATTGGATAAAACTGTGGTTGTAGAAATATTGCTGTACGTAAAAAGACAAAATTAGGTTACGAAAAGGATAAATTTATTATAGCTAATAAAAAAGTTTTAATTTAGGGGGAAACATTGTATAAATGATGCTTTCGTTTAAATTAAAACAATCCCACTCAAAAATATTGTAGCATTTTAAAATTAAAATAAAAAAAAATTTGAGAAATGTTTTTCCGGATATACATGTAGAAGCATGTGTTGTAGCCATAATTTCCGGAATTTATACTAATTAAAAAAATGCATGTAAATTGCAAATGGCAGATAATATATCATTATAAACAAATATCGTGTTTCTATAATTATACGCCAATTTGTTTATCTGATTTTAATGATTGATACATAGTCACACATAAGTAATTAGTATTAATTTAGTCACTTATATATGGGGTCTGATCTTACACTGACCGACTAATTACATTTTTCGAAAGTTTTCTCTGTAAAAGAATGCATTACTGCAAAGTGCTGCTTTTGCAGTACAAAAATTTTTATTATATATTTTTTATTTTAAAGTATTTATTATTTAAAGCTATATTCTATTAATATTCTATTAATTAAAAACACCTAGACAATGAATTANATATAGCCCATTTGTTTAAGTGAAAAATAAGTATTTTAGTCTTTGTCCATAAATTAATTTTTAAAATTATTATAAAAAGTAACTGACAACTCGGAATGTTGATATACACGTGCATAAATTATGAGCAGAACCAAAGATCTTCAGATCAAGCGATTCGAGATAAATTTTAAATTATAGAAAAATATATAGGCCACATGTTTTAAAAATGCAAGATTAATTTAAAACTAAATATGATTCAATTATATTGATAATGGATTATGATATGATTAGATAATATCTTCAATCGTCCGCATAAATTAGATTAAGAATAAAATTTTAATAAATATACTTTTAGCATACGGTGAAATATTGGATAAAACTGTGGTTGTAGAAATATTGCTGTACGTAAAAAGACAAAATTAGGTTACGAAAAGGATAAATTTATTATAGCTAATAAAAAAGTTTTAATTTAGGGGGAAACATTGTATAAATGATGCTTTCGTTTAAATTAAAACAATCCCACTCAAAAATATTGTAGCATTTTAAAATTAAAATAAAAAAAAATTTGAGAAATGTTTTTCCGGATATACATGTAGAAGCATGTGTTGTAGCCATAATTTCCGGAATTTATACTAATTAAAAAAATGCCTGTAAATTGCAAATGGCAGATAATATATCATTATAAACAAATATCGTGTTTCTTTAATTATACGCCAATTTGTTTATCTGATTTTAATAATTGATAAGTAATTAGTATTAATTTAATCACTTATATGTGGGTCTGATCTTACACTGACCGACTAATTACATTTTTCGAAAGTTTTCTCTGTAAAAGAATGCATTACTGCAAAGTGCTGCTTTTGCAGTACAAAAATTTTTATTATATATTTTTTATTTCAAAGTATTTATTATTTAAAGCTATATTCTATTAATATTCTATTAATTAAAAACACCTAGATAATAAATTAATCTTTCAGATTAATTTTTAAATTAATTAATGTAATTTTTTATTTATATTGTCACCACGGAGACCTTTAAGCAAATTTAGCATATCTCAAGCATTTTATTGTCATACTTCTTACAACGTGCATTTCGAACTTATGGTTCCTCATCAATTGTCAAATTCCTGGATATCTAATTATATAGTAATTTATAATATAGTAAGTAAATACTTATATAGTGATTTATAATTTAAACTGATCTTCTGACGAAGTATAAATTTTACATACGTTGTGAAAATGTGCATTTATAACGAGATTTTCTCATGTGTAACGAGAAAAACGTTGAGTTTTTCAAGTACAAAATTTTTTGTTTCTTGTTAATTTCATAAAACTTCCATTTAAAAGTATTTTCCCAAATGTAAATTTCTATACACATTTAAAACAATTATTAATTATATAGTGGTATCTCGTATTTCGAACGGTTTAGAGTTCGAACGCTTCTTCAAAGTTTGAACTGCGTTACGCTTTTGTATTTTCAGTGCTTTTTTCCGTTTTATTTTTAGTGTGTTTCGTTATATATACCGTATTGTGTGTTATTCGTCAATTTTTAGCAATTTCTTCCTGCAATTTTTCATTGTTGACAGCTTTTGGGCGACCCCCATACGTTTTATATCCTTTAGTTAAAAATTTTTCGAACGGAACTTTTTAAATTATATTTGACGCTTTTTAAGTTTAGAAGCATCTTCCCCATACATATATTGCATTTTTTTTTTTTTTTTTACTGTTTGTACGGCGTTATATCCTTTTACGAAACTTAAAGCATATGCCTAAATGCGTTTTATCCGAAGACATTTGAATTTTATTTTATTCAAAAAATGTGAAGCAAAAAGTTTAAAATAAGATTCTAAATAAAGAATAAAATCTTTCACTATATGTTAAATTTTACAACTGTTATAATTCTACGAAGATGCCGAAGTCTACGGCGTGCGACCAATAAATGCAATTTTCATTTTATTATACAGTATTTACATATTTTATTTATTGCTTTTGTGTTTTAATCGATTATTACGGCATTTAATTGTATTATTTTTACCTTAAATTATGTGTATTTGCTGTTTTAAGTTTATCGAAATGGGTATTGTTCGGGGTTTGGAAATGAATTAATTCACTTTCCATTATTTTCTAATGTGAAAAAGTGATTCGGAGTTCGAAGTTCGAACGACCTCCTAGAATAAATTAAATTCGAAGTACGAGACATCAGTGTACAGTGGTACCTCGGTATACGTCTGCTTTAGAATACGTCCAATTCGGAATACGTCCTGTTTGGACGAAACAAATTTTGCTTGGTATACGACTTTTGTTCGGAATACGTGTTAAATATATCACTGTTGCAAGTTATGTGTTCACAGATAGTGAGCAGGATACCTTACAAGTAAGTTTAAAAAATCATACACAATTACTTTGATCCGTTTTAAGTCATACCGAACCAAAAAGTGGCGGGCTTGATAAAAGACTCCACTTCATGGCCGTTTATTTATTATAAAAAACAATACAATGTTTATATGACACGAAGCGTTGCTACACAATACAAATACAAAAGTTTATATAACACAAATCATTGTTACACACATAGATAATGACAGGAGAGAAATTTAACAATACGACATAATTCAATTATACGCGCCATCTATGAACGAGTATCTGTATATTATACCAGACTAGACGTTCGCGGTGCCACGGTTTATAACTTTCTTTATTAAATTTCTTCTGATTTTAATTTGTAAGTAAAATTTTATTATTTTTATTAATCGTGAATTGCAAAAAAGGCAACAGAAAAATAAAAAAATGACTAGAATCACAATGAACTGAAAAAAAAATTGTTGAGAAATATGAAGGTGGCATGCGTGTTTGAGATTTAACTGTTGCACACCGTATTCCGAGAACGACGATATCAACAATCGTAAAAAAAAAAAAAATTATAAAATTTGCTAACGTTGCGAAAGTCGCAACGTTAGCAAATTTTATAATGGTTTTTTTTTCTAAAATCAATTTCTAAACATAGATCGAAGACATTACATCATGTTGAGAAATTGCTTTTGCTTTGGATAACTGAAAAACAGTGTGCTGGCGACAGCGTATCAGAAGAAATTATTTGCAACTCATGAAAAATCAAGCAGGAACTAGCCAAGAAAAAGAGGTGTTTAAAGCCAGCCATTTTTTTTTACATGAGAACGGATTAATCATTTTTACATTACTTCTTATGGGAAAGGTTGATTTGTATACGTCCTATTCGGTATAAGTCCAAACACCAGGAACGGATTACAGTCGTATACCGAGGTTCCACTGTACTATTATATAGTAAAGGAAATTTTAAATGACTAATGTTAAGCTAAAATTATATCGTTCATAGATTTTAGTTAATATTTAGTTTAATTTCTAATTCTTAATTAAGAAAATCCTGTTGAATTTATTTCTATTCTTTATCAAATATCATTATGATTTTCGAGGTTAAATATAAAAATTATTTTAAAATTTTGAATATAATACAATAGAACGATAAGCATATATTATTGTAAAAATAATTTAAAAGAATATAAAAGAATATTTTCAAAACATCTCGTTTACTTTCTAAATTATTTTTTTCTATCAAGAATTAGCATAGTAAAATATCGATGTTATTTTTATTTACTTAAATGGCTTATTTAGTCTTTAACATTTAATGTTAATTAGCAATTAATAAATAACTTATTTTTTAATAATTTTAAATATGAAAAAATTGTAGATCTAGAAATATTCTAAATTTTTTATTCTTCTTTTGAAGCAGACTTACTGTTATAGGTTAGCCCAAAAAT